AATAAGGGGATACTGCATAATTCAGAATCAGGAAAGGCGTGCATCAGGGTATACCCTTTCACCATTCTTATTCAATCTATATACTGAGCAAATAATCCAAGAAGCTAGACTATCTGAAAAATAATGTGATGTCAGGATTGGAGGAAGACTCATTAAGAACCTGTGATATGCAGAGGACACAACCTTGCTCAATGAAAGTGAAATAGACTTGAAGCACTTACTGATGAAGATCAAAGACTATGGTCTTCAATATGGATTATACCTCAACATAAAGAAAATAAAAATCCTCACAATTGGACCAATAGTCAACATCATGATAAATGGAGAAAAGATTGAAGTTATCAAAGAATTCATTTTACTTGGATCCACAACCAACACCAAAGGAAGCAATAGTCAAGAAATCAGACATCCAATCTATCATGAAACAAAATGTGTATCAACTGCTACATGGAAAATGAATTTGTTCTGTAAATTTTCATCCAAATCACAATTAAAAGGAAAAAAGAAAAGAAAAGAAATCAGACGTCGTATTGCACTGGAAAATCTGATGCAAAAGACCTCTGTAAAGTGTTAAAGTGCAAAGATGTCACTTTGAAGCCTAAGGTGTACCTGACCTAAACCATGGTATTTTCAACTGCCTCATATGCATGTGAAAGCTGGATAATGAATAAGGAAGACTAAAGAAGAGATGATGCCTTTGAATTGTGGTGTTGGTGAAGAAAACTGAAAATACCATCAACTGCCAGAACAATGAACAAATCTGTCCTGGAAGAAGTGTACCCAAATACTCCCTGAAAGCAACAATGACCAGACTTCATCTCAACTACTTTGGTCATGTTGTCAGAAGGGAATGATCCCTGGACAAGGATATCATGCTTGGTAAAGTTGAGGGTCAGTGAAAAAGGGGAAGACCTTCAACAAGAGGGATTGACACCGTGGCTGCAATGATGGCATTGAATACAGCAAGGATTGTGAGGATGGCGCAGGAGGGGGAAGCATTTCGTTCTGTTGTACAAAGGGTCACTTTGAGTCTGAGGTGACCCAACAGCACCTAACACACTATACCACCAGAGCTCCCAACAACATAAGATGAATATAATAAAGTTTTATTTAGATTTTCCACCTACAAAACCACTCCCATTCAATGTATGCAACCAACTATGACCAGATTTATTTTTCTAAAGGAGATTATGATCAAATTGGTTCTGTTCATAATCCTTCAAAAGCTCACTAATTCTTAACTAATGAAAACTCTTTTTACAGGTGTTTTAAGAGTTGACTCTGTATGACTTCAACTTACCTTTCAAGCCATAAATTTTTATAATCTCCTACTTACACCCTATTTATCAGCTCAACTTGACTGCTTGCTCTTCTCTTAATCTACTTTGAAATTTTCTAAACTCTTAAGCTTTTTCATGGTGTCTCCTCTTGCAGAGTGGATGGAGTCAATTCTTACTGCCTTACATCTTCCTTTGCAAACCGTGGTCATGTTTTAAAGATGACCATCATCACGATAAGAATGAGAGATGACCCTGAGACTGATGCCTTCTCAAATTTTGTGCTGTAGGCAATTAACTTGACTCATCCTTTTCTCAGCTCAAAAGACCATTTAAAAATGATACTTCATCCATGAAGCCTATCCTGATTTCTCTCAAGAAGGCTCAAAAGCATTTTATATCTCGTTTATGGCTTTATATTCATTTATCAAATTCAACAACTATTTATCAGCCACCTTCTATGTGCCAGGCACTAATCTAAGAGTTGGAGACAGAGTAGTGGAAACAGGTAAAAATCTAGCCTTCCTAGAGTTTATGCTTTAGTGGGTGAAAGTAACTTATAAATATATCTGATTCTATTAGCATATCAAGCTTGCTACCAAGGAAAAAAATCTAATTAATTTATGTCTGTATACTTGGATGTGCAACAAATATTTATTGGATTCAGTTAAAAAAAATCTCTTCATGCTCTTTAGAACTATTTTAACTTAAGAACTACAACCAACAGACACCATTTCTTATTAATTACATCTTTAAACTTACCTGCTAATATCATTGTTGCTTAGGTCAAGTCTTTCCAAAGACTGTAGTAGTGTAATTTCATCTGGAACAGATTTTAACTTGTTATCCCTCAGGTCTAACACAAGGATAGACTGCAGATGCTTAAGGTGTTCTGCCCCTAACATTTCAATCTGGTTTTCACCTACATGCAATTCCTACAAAATCAAAGATCAGTTATATGCATCTCTGTATTCAATTTTATACAAGGGAATAAATTTAAATTGTGAATACTCTTTATTTTTAATCATTAAAAATACATGGGGGAAAAAATAACAAATTTCTAATTACTAATGTGCTTAAATGTTCAATTGCATTTAAGCTATTTTATAGCTAAAGAAAGATGGCTGTGTGTGTATGAGTGTGTGTGTATAATGAATGTCTGACAATTTACAAACCATTAAAGGTCTAATCTAGCAGAAACTTCAAGTTTACAATCCAAAGCAGAGTAGAGAAATGATTTAATAGTCATGTATAGAATTTTTAAAACTATAAATCTAGGAACTATACTGATAAAAAACTCTACTGATGGGAAAATATCAAAATAAGTAACTATAAGTTAAAAAAAAGTTATTTTTTACTATGATCAATTTGTTATTCAGCATTTTCATTAGTTATTGAACATTATATATACTGACTTCCCATTAAGAGAATATAAAATATTAGATTGGTGATTTAACTCTGTAAATGATAACTTTTTCAGTTCTTTTTATCATTATATCATCTTGTTTAAAAGAACCTCTTTTAACACTGATACAAATGTACATATGAAAGAAAGCAAAATATGACAAAGTTAGAAGACAGTATTACTGTTATATATCAAAACCAAAAGAAAGCAAATAATTTTAAATAGACCTGTTTATGATCAGGTAAATGTGAAAGGTGACTACTTATACAATTAGATACTTATTTCTTACTAGAATTCCAAATCCTCTGTATGGCTCCAACTTTGCATTTTAGTTTTATCATCTATAACTTCACTTGTAAATTACTCATCAGAAGAAATGGACAAATTCCTATTCTTAAGTTAATAATTTCTTTAAAAAACATCTACAGGCATACTTCAGAGATATTGCTGGTTTGGTCCCAGATCATCACAATAAATTGAATATTGCAATAAAATGAGTTACAAAATTTTTTTGGTTTCCCACTATACTTTAGTCTACTAAGTGTACAATAGAATTATAAAAATGTTTAAAATATTGTAAGAATTACCAAAATGTGACAGAGAGACATGAAGTGAGCATATGCTTTTGGAAAAATGGCATCGAAAGACTTGCTTGACACAGGGATGCCACAAACCTTCAATTTGTTAAAAAAAAAAAAACATAGTATGCAAAAACCAATAATGCAAAGCACAATGAAATAAGGGATGCCTGTATTACTAGGAGTGTCATTAGTATCATTACTTACATTAAAGTTCTTAAGGATACTAACATAGGAAAAATATAGTACTTCTAACTACTACATATTCCCAAAGAAAAACAATATTAGCTTTAAAATAATCTTTTTCAAAATTAACTTTTAGAAAATATACAGTAACTCAATAATCAACTAAATAGTACCTTCAGTAGTCTACAGGAAGGAAACTCTGGCAGAGAACGTAATTTATTTCTCCGCAAATAAAGTAATTCTAATGATTCCATGTCAGCCAGTTCAGAAGGTATAGCTTCCAAGAGATTTGAATTGCAATCCAAATGCTTTAATCCTGTAATATATATTTAATGGAAAATAAAAACATTTTAATAGAGACAAAAATAATGGCTTATGGTCATATATACTTGCAAAGAATGTGTAAGTAATCACTAGGAAGATTTATGAACCTATGCCATAGTATAATGCCATAATAGTCAGGAACACTAGAATACCATCAAACTAAATAAATGTAAAGTGTTTTTATATTCAATTATAATTAAAGAGAAATAAAGATATTAACCTTAATATTTAATAATAATCTGGGTCATCTTTGCAGTAGATTTAAAAATAAAGTACTCCAGTATTCTGTTAAGTACTTTGAAATATATAAACTGTATACAATGAGATATTATTGTTTCTTCTGTTATTACGCATCTTAAAAATGAAAAAACTTAATGTAATCAAAGACATATAAACACGCATGCACATTTGCTGTATAAATCAATGTCAAGTAACTCTGGCTAGTAGTAGCTTAGAAACATCTGTATTTCCAAGCAAATTGACTTTCTGTCAAAAAGCATTGGATTTCTATGCATTCTCTCCCATTCTTCCATATTTCCATATTACTGCTTTTAAAACAAATGTAGTAATATTAGTTTTAACAAATACTATAATAATACATATTATCTGACTGGAGCATTGAGGAAAATGTCATAATCTAGCCAATTCCAAATGCAGCAAATTTCATAAAGAAAAGTCTGTTATAAAACTCAAGACTAATTTTCACAATTGTCTGCAATTTAAGAGCATTGACTGGGAATACAAGCAGTACATAGTAAAAGGAACAATGGGGATGGAGTAAAAAGATTCAAGCCCTAGCTCTACAACTTACTATATACAATTTCTAAGCCTACATGTATGAAACTTTAACGTGTAAATAATACAGATCCCACCAACTTCACAAACTGTTGGGATAGTAAAATACTACATATAATAGCATTTTGGTTATAGAAACACAAACATAAGATACTATTCTTAGGACCTAGTTATAACTAGTGAAGTAACAACTAAATGTCCTACTGGTGATAGCTTAAATCTATCATGGTCATAGTTGAGGGAAAGAAAGCATCTGGTCATTAATTATGAAATATATTAGAAAAATTGCTGTAAACTCAAAAGTATTTTTTTGAATTGATTTCCGAATATGTTTTTTTATCTCAAGAAATCAACACTCGGAGGAGTTCCGACAAGATGGTGGACTAGGCAGAAGGACTGCACAGACCCTCTTCAACAAAGAAAAGGGAAACCAATTAACACAGACACAGAAGATAAA